TAGATGAAGATGTCTTCATCCCTCTGTACCCCAAAAAGTCAGTTTCTTTTCTTGCTTCTCTCATTTTATAACATTAACGGCATAATAAGTAAGGGAGGGAGGGATTATGTATAGATTCATACAAAAAGAATCTCTCTCAGTCATCACTTATGACCAACTAGAAGTCTGTGGCGGTATCTGTGTCTGCCGAGACCTAGCCCTCTGCCTGTATATTTAGTTAATTTCTTTATTTCATTATTTTATTTCGTTTACCATTTTCTTTATAACTGATTCTGTATTAATGTAATATTGTCTGCTATGTAGCGAAAGGGAGTTACAAAACACAATTTCACTCTCTACCTACCCACCTATTTTCTTGCTGTGTTTGGGGACGTTATTGGGCGTGAACCTTTGGGAGGCGCACTGGGTGTGAGGTCAGGGCTCTATAAAAACATAGTGACCAGGTTACATTGCTGTCTCTGTCTCTCTCCTCTGATCTCTGCCTGTCATGTATGTATAAAGAGCTGAAGGCAGGGCTGAGCTACACACAGAGCAGAGGCCACAGTTGACATGATTAGAGCTGCAACGATTAGTCGATTAGATGTAAACTATTAAATTGCCAACTATTCTGTTAATCGATTAATCACTTTTCAGTGAAGTCAGATCAGTCAAAATGGTGTCAAATTACTTGGCGTTAGTTGTCATTTCAATATATTATTTATGCTGTTTGTGTTTCTATCCAGATTTCTAGAAGAGAGGTCATCACCTCATTGTCGCTTCAGGGATCAACAGTTCTGGACGGCCATAAAAGTACTGCTCACTAACAAATGCTTTTTTTAAAAACACTTGTGTACCTTTTATCATTTCAGTGTTCCAGGATGCTGTTTGTTAATTAGAGTTGTTTTGTGTTTATATTAGCTACTAGGTAACATGGGAAAATGGGATTTGCTGCTTCCTGAGTCTGCATTAAAAGAACTGATGTTGGACAAACTGCTGAACAGATACCTGATGATCACCCTGTGCAGTCAGACACTATGTAACGATGCTGTCTACGCTTGCAGAAAGGTCTTTACATTTTTTATGTGGAATGTGTGTAATTTTGGTGTCTGTGCAGTTGATCTTGATGGTCTGTTGTTGTGTCCCTCATGTTCTCTTGCTTAATCTCACACTACTTCTCTCTCTTGATCTCCAGATAGCAGATAGTCTGCCGCTCTCTTGGCTCAAAGGAGAGAATGCCTGTTTGCCTCAGCTCCAGAATTTTAGAAACCACCTAGTTCAGAAAGTTCATACCATCTGCAAAAAGCAGCCTCCGGAGGATCCAAACACCAGGTAGTACAAACAACACATTTCCACAGCTGTAAGGTCAACATAGTCACAGTGAATTTGAAATGTCTTAATCTATCGTCATCAACCTTTTTAACAACCAAGCAGCTGCCAAAGTATTCATTTTTTTTGGATTGCCTTTTAAATTAAAATTCTTCAGTTTATTTATATAGGCTCTGTGTTTGTGCTGAACAAATTGCCTTCCTATTCCCCCATCATGACATCTGTAGCTTCTCAACATTCCAAGTGGCAAAATGTGACTTACATTTTAGTCTATTTAGTGGTTATCTTTATAACTCTTCATACATTTATAACAACTGTAATCCTCTAATCCAGATTTATGTGTCCCTTCCTACTGCAGGTCTGCTGTGGTTGAAGTGCTGCAGATCTTGAGTCGAATCAGGTGCAATGACTCCATTATGGCTATAGCAGAGAAATACCATTATGAAGATGCCATCTACTCTCACCAGCTGCTGAACCAAGAGACCGTATAAACAACAAACATTGTGGAACGGAATGTGGATCAAATAGCAAACATAATACACTGTGATTGTCAAAGACATGATAGCAGGAGAGGGACAGAGTGGACTTTGCCTTGTGTAAAGGTTGCTGTACTAGATCCCATATGGGATGGAATATGTCATAGGGCCATGAGGTGTTCTCATGGTCTGACTGCAGACCTACCTTTTTGGCCAAAATACAGAATGAAAACAATGAATACATATATATTAGTGCAAGTGAGGTGGCACTGAAGTATGTAGCAACAACTTGTGCAAATTACATGATTAATCCCAAAAAATCGTGTGGGGGGGGAAATAATTCACCTTCCTGCAATTTATTGTCATGAACAATGTGCTGTCTGTGTTGTACAGGAGATAACTGTATTTTTATGAATAAATATTAGAATTTTGTTAATAAATCTAGAGTTTTATTTGGATTGTATTTACTGTCATGTTGAAGGTTATTTATGTGTGACTTGCTGATACCTATAACCTCACTTTGAAGTCAGACATAAAAACGAGGTTATGGACAAGCCACTTTTAAGATGCTGGACTCCTTTAAGCACAAGTCATTGGTTATAGCACCTATACGAAAGGTCAGGTCTTTTAGGTTAAATCTACTTAAGAGTATCTACTATGAACCCATGTCTTCTTTATCTTATACAACTCTGTCATAGAAAAGGTGGTGTTATCACTGTTGTCATTATTTTGTGGATAGTACAGGGGTGGCGGCCCACTGCCCGATTTTAAATGGCCTGCGGTTAACTTATAAAAATAAACAAGAATATGACTTTAGCTTATGTCTAATACCATGTCTGTGCACATCTTAGTTTAAACACTAGATGCCACTGTCATCTTGAACAACTATTTGACCTACAGCGATGGATTACTACTCAACGAAAACATTTACATCTGTTGATTCAACACGGAGGAACCGAAGAGACGGAAGATAGTGAGGTCGTTTAGTTCAGTAAATATGACAGGTCTGTCTTTAAGAGTTGTAGAAAATCAGTTTAAACATTTACCTGATGAGGATTAAAGGGTGGACCACTGCAGCTTTGGAACAAGGCCTGGCCTACCCACACTAGAAACTACTGTATTGCCAACAGGGTTGCAAGGCAATAATGACATGTTCAAAGCTGTACTGGCAGTCCCAAACAGTGAAGTATCTCACAAATAGCCAGCCTTTGGAGATAGATTTCTGAATCCAACAGCTCCCTGGTTTCATAAAAAATGAGCCAAACTACCCATAGATTTGCTGGGAGGCACGCCACAAAGTTACTGAGCAGGAGGATGGACAGTATCTGCGTCATCTTGCAGCATGATGTAGGGGAGACTGGGGGCAATTGTAACATTTTCCTTAATAACTTACAGACTACTTGAGCTACACAAGTCATCTTTTGATAGAAAAACATATATATATGTGCACTAATTAATAATACAATTGATATATTTTCACTTATAAGAACAGGACTAGATAGATAGATAGAGACTTTATTGTCATTGCACATAAAACACAACGAAATGCAGTTTAGAGCAAACCACTGAACTTAGCAGTTTCTATAAATAAATAAATAAATACGCCATAAAAGGCTTGCATAAAATAATAAAATGAAGCAATAAAACATACATTAAAAACAAATGCAACAGCAATGTTAACATTAAGACCTAATTAACTGGTCCAGCAATTGGATAAAGTGTATTCATTGTGTTAAGTGTGTTAAGCACAGTTTGGCATCACCTGATGAACATTCAAGATTGCAGCAGCATGTCCACAGCTCTTGGGAAAAAGCTGTTCTTTAGGCGGTTTGTCCTTGTTCTGATTACCTTTAGCCTGCCAGAAGGAAGTTTTCAAAACAGATGGTGACCTGTGTGTGAAGAGCTTCCATTGATGTTCCTGGCACGTCTGAGAAGACGGCTAGAGTGGATGTCGTTCAGAAGGGGAAGAGGGGCACCGACAATCCACTGAGCAGTCTTCACCACCCTTTGTAGATCCTTCCTTTCTTCTGCTGTGCAGCTTGAGTACCACACTGTACAGCAGTATGACAGGACACTCTCAATTGTACATCTGTAGAAATTTTTCAAAAGTTCATGGGGGAGTTTTAAGCATATGACTATAATATTTAATTAAATGCAAGAATGTTGGCCTATGTTAATTTATTGTTTGTTGTTTGTTTATTTATTAGTTTATACTAGAACAAATCCGTTTATATTAATACACCCATTTTTAATGTAGTTTTACATTTATATTATTTATATATTTACATGTAAATTTTCTAACAAAAGTATCTAAATCTTGTATGCCGCTAGCCACAACTATATTACCATAGTTTGTTAGTGTTAATTGTTAATCTATGACCTGGAGATGTAATGTATCTAAGTTAAAATTTGCAGTCATCTAAACCAGAAGAAAAATACTGTACATCCAAAAAGTTACTTTCAGTGAAATGATCCTTCTCCTTTTCCACAGCCAGAGAGAGAATCCACTTGAGCATGTGCAGATTAAGTGTCATCACAGAAATTGAGTGTGTTACAATTGCCCCTGTTACGATTGCCCCTGGTCTCCCCTACATTTTGTTTAGAGAGCCGTTGAAAAGAGAATATTCCAGCTGAGATGTGGACATTTCTTCATTGGTTCCTCAGGTTGGTGTATACTATCCACAACGGTCAGAGACTGTAAGCAGCTTGAAAAACATCACCTTGTGAATCGTGAGATGGAAACGCTTGAAGTTTCTTGACAAATTGCAATTCCATTGGTGCTTCCTTCCTTCTATAGCAGCCTCGTCTGTGCTGCTCCTGTCATTTAACTGCAACGTCACTTCTCTTTGTAGCTCAACACCTCTGTCCTTGTCCAAGACAAATGTATACTACATTTTCACAAAGCTCACAATTCTACAGCCAATCAAGACTCATTTTTATAACTGTATAACTAATATTGTTTATTCTATCAATATTTTCAAAATAAAGGCCCGACTTACTTTCCAACAGATAAGTAACTAATAATAAATAAATAATAATAATGCTGGTGCCAGCTATTCGGCAGAGGGAAGTGAAGACACTGAGACTTTGATTACATGATCTTAAATTTGTTTTTGTAAATGTAAACCACCGATCTTGAAAATCTCCTCCACTTGACGGGAAATGCATTATGCTCTTTACGGTTTCCATAAACTAATAATGAGAAAGACACGTGACACATTTCTATTAGCAGAGCTTTATTTATGAAGCCCATACAAAGCAAAGCACACGAAAACAGAACCCCCAAACATAGCTCGTCACGTGCACAACACTCGAACTGAACTGAGATCAACGACATCATCTTTGTGGATGAAACTATTCCAGTTTATAGAAGCCACAGAAACACAACTAAACAACTTCACTAAATCTGTTGAGTTTCATACAGTAACTGATGCCGTTTTGTGCACACTGGATGCATTTTCTGACAAGGCTCAGAAGCAAACGGTTGGATAGGTGAATTGTTGCAACATTCAGCTACAAAAAAATAAAGATTCAAGAAAGTAGGATGATTTAGTGCAACTATTAACTGTCAAAAACAAAGCAATCAGGATTTTTAGCAAGCAGGCCAGCCCAGCAAAGGTAAGCATGGACGTGCACACACACACACCAGGTCTTCATTTTCTGTTGACAGCTTTACTCCACTGAACCAGAACAACACGTTTACAGCTACCAAGAGAGTGCTACTTAGTGAGTAAGGCCCTTTTGCATATAAAGCTACTGTATGTTACAAGGACAACAATTTAAAGATTATTTTTCATACACACTTACAGCTGACAGTATTTCCAAGTCAGTGTTTTTTTTTTTTTTTTTTTTTAGAACACTCCACGTTTTTAGTACAGTTCACTACATCTGTACCACTGATTTCAACATCTAACTATTTTTATCCAGATGATGTGGCTACAGTATTAGAGAATTTGTTCATTTGATGAGTACACGGTTAGATGATTTAATTTCAAAATGTCACTTACTAATCTTTGGTATGACAAAACAGCCATTCGCATGTTTTCCCTTATATCACCGGATTGTGCACAGTGAATAAATTGCAATTTAACAATTTTGTTCTTAAATGTCTGTGTTGAAAGACACAAAGCCAACCAAATACCAGCTACAATATTTGTCCAACAAGCAGAAGTTTAATGACCATGTTTTCTGACCAAATGAAAAGGATGAACGCCGAAAGTACCATCAAAAATGGTGTTAGAACTTAATCTGAAACTTCTTGTTACGATGCATATTAGTAAGTGCTGAGAAAAACTTGGAGTAATGCATCAGAGAGGGGGACAAACTTTAGATGACAGAGAACTGGATGCCGTGTTTGTGGAGGCGGTCGATGAGTGTGGTTTTTGCAAAGGCAGCTCCTGGAGTATATACTCCTCCCCTGAAAATGAAGGATACAAATAAGAATTTAATTCAAACCAAAATGAATTTCTTGCTCAAGTCTTTAATAAGTGATATTCATGGAATGTATGGACATAAAACCACTAAACTGTATAAAAAAAAAAAAGAAAAAAAAAGAAATAAATACCGTCTCTAGCTTGTGCAGTAATTTGCATAAAACATGTTCAACAGCACAGTAGCAATGCTGTATCAATATTTGCCACATGCTAAGTCTACTCTGTGATGATCAAAAAATCATCTCTCACTTCCTGGAAGAACCTTTCATTTGATTTTATTTCACATTACCATGTCTCCTGCTTTTAGTCTTTATATTAAAATAAACAGCATAAACACATTAAATTTCCATCTGGTTTACCACAGGTTATCAATCACCCAATGTCTTTGGGACTAAAGGTCCATTTTACAAGAACTGGCTAGATGGACTGAAAAATATCATTCTCATCAAACCTGGAAAACCAAACACGTGGACTGGACCTGGGAACTTCCAATAATCTAAGTGTGCTTTCACACCTCACCCCCAGTTTTGTTTGGTTAAAATGAACTCAGGTCTGTTTGCCTGGTTAGTACGTTTCATTTGGGCTGATGTGAAAGCTATCAATGGAACTCTGGTGCGGACCAAACAACTGAACAGAGACTGCTTGAAAAGGTGCCTTTTGGCCCGCTGTCAAGCTGATATGATAGCAGATATGTGATTTTAGCAGTATTTCAAAAGCTAAACTACCAATAAATCCATCTGCTGATTGTGAAATATGTTCAGGAAGCAATCTTATAATTTATCTGTATAAGCCATGTATATATTTATGCAAATATTCAACAATGGTAACACATATGCACGCCAGCACGGGTATTTTGCCTGATTAATAGATCAAAAGCTGTTAAAATGCTGTGCCTGCACTCTGTCTACTGTTCATTAAGTCCATTAAATAGTGTGTGATAGCGATCCCACATTAATAAGCTCAGAATCATTACAGTACAAGACGCCTCCTTTTCGCCCTGTCTCTACCCGATAGTCATTATTCATAACATACAGTCAACTCGCAGTGCAGTCTAATAATACTAATAATGCTTCTAATCAATTATTTCTTCCTGAGCTTTTTGTAACATCAAAGACCATAAATATTTACAACCGAAGCCATAAAGTGCTTGACCATAAAGTCAACCAGAATTTGATTTCTCCAGGTGGGTCCTGATGATGCATGACAATTGTGCAAGTTCATTCAACAGTTCATGTCGTGTGCTGCATTAGTAATCGGGTGGTACGTCATTTCAAGGTTCAGGCAGTAGATCTGGGGTGTGGATAACTCACTTCTTGGGCAAGGCCGTGGACTCGTTGAGGACTGTTAGAGCAGCCTGTACCATGGCAATGGGCGTGGCCACATATCCACACTCTGAATAATGACAGAGACAGAATTAAAAAAACCATTAGAGACATAGAGGAAGGTGTTGAAGAGGCCAGACTGGGTACCTTGGTTCATTTCCCTCATTACACAGCCTGGACAGAACACAAACAAGTGAGCATTTAACACAACTAACATGGCTAATGTTCATCTTACTCTACAGAGATGAGCTATATCATGTTTTGTTCTTGCATTCATTGAGGGTTTAATACAATATTTTATAATTCTGCTGCCAAATGATCATCTACCCTCCTAAAGCCACATTAATTAGCAAATAAAAACAAAAATTTTTTTGGAGGGAAACCCAAGAATCTTTGTTTTCACTCTTTGTTACATCAAAGACCAAACCTTGTATTATAGTAGGATTTTCAATTTCCAGTTACCTGGTCCCTGAACCAGTGTGCGGATCTTGCCGTTAGGTTTCCCTTGGGAGGGGTCCTGTCCCTCTGTGTAGCCGTCTCCATAGAAGGCAAACTGGAAAGATGAAGCCTCCATCTAACACACACAAAAACACACACACCACATTAACAGAAAACACAGCATCTTGTTTTTATTTATAAGAAGAAGGTCCTGATATATCTTCTTTTCCGTGAAACACTTTACCTGCTTTCTACTTGGTCCGGCCTTGGAGAAGAGTCCAAAGGAGAAGAACTCTGGATGCTGGGAAGGTCGTTACAAACAACAGACGATATAATGACCACTTTGTGTCAGTAACAGGTAGAATATTCAGTTATAGTCAGTTGTGATTTGTAAATTGTATTATGGCTTGTTTGCTTACCTTGATGAGCAGGTTGCGTCCAAAACTGAATTTGACCAAGAACCAGAACATCATGCCAGCAAACATCAGCTTGATAATGTTCCCGATACCTCCTATACCTGCATACGCTCCATACTGAACCTAAAGTTAACAATAACAGATTATTTAATGCTCTAAAAACATATCAGAGGCAGTGTATTATACACGCTCTGTTGGTGCCTGCTGAAAAGTGTACCTGCACACCATGATAACTCTTAAGGTTGAAAGTGAGTTCAGTAACATCACCACCCAACGTGACTGTGAGATGAAGATTTTCTTGACTACAAGTTAGACTATCAAACACTACATGTCTCCTGCCAAAGAAAAAATTATATTTTGACACTGCAATTAATATTAATGAGAAACTATTCAAAGAAAAGTGGAAGAGGATGATTACGGTCTGTCATCAAAATGTCACGTCCAATAGAAATAAAAGATAGCGGGCAGGCATTTCTCCTTGTTTGTCATTAATCCTAACACGCTCACTGGATTGGAAAATCCAAAATGAACACAGCCAAGTTCAAAACCAGCTTTGCCTAATAACCTAAAATCATAATTGATGACATCTGTGATACTTAAACTGAAATTAGACACAGATTGGTCTCTGTGATGCTTCTCTACAAGAAGATTACTTATAGTTAATTTTAAAAGTGATTCATTAGAGGTAAACTAACACAAAGAAAGTGTGAGTAAAGAAAACTCAGGATTTGAAGAAAGAGGCAAAAAAAGACTGACTGGTGTGGCCTGATGTTCCTCCACTAAGAAGCGCTGACTTCTCTTCACAACGGAGGGATCAGAGCCCATGAAGGGCACCGTATACTGCTGGATCTCATTACTGAAGAACAAGGCTCCCCTACAAATGCGCGCGCGCACACACACACACACACACACACACACACAGAAATATGATTAAAAAAGGATCAGCTTGCCTAAACCTTAGAGCCCAACAGATTAATTTGGAGATCAGTTCTATTGGCTGATGACCATCTCCTCACATTTTATGATAATAATATTGATTTACTGAGTTTGATGAACTGGCTGTGTAAGTGCCATTAAGGAGAAGCAAAGGATTTGATTTATTTGAAAAAGCTAAAAGGCATTACTGCTCTTTGTACCTGCGTTTAAGCTTAGAGCCAACAGTAGGGAGAGGCTTGTGATTAAACTTCCTCCTGAGACTCTGGAGCTTGTGGCTGTCGGCCAAACCGTAGACGGCCGACTGCCAAGTGCCATCATGGATACATCCGCCCTGATAGAGGAAGACCGAGGGACACACACACAAAGGGAGAAAATGTGGAGGAAAAAGTGATACACAGCATGAATTGAACAGAGGAGAACAAACAATGAGAGAGGAAAAAACAAGACACATTTGATATAAGGAGAAAAATATGTGATACCAAATAAATATAAGCAATGAGTGTGCAGCTGGTCCACTGCATGGACCTATTGGTAATATAATTACTTACATCAGCTCCTGAGCTGAGAGTCAGGAAGCTCTCCACTGCAGTCAGTGTACCTGCGGATGAACACACACCCACACACACACACACACTGTTTTGGCAGAAGCTAATCTGACAATGTATAAATCATCAGTAACAGAAAGTGAATGGTCCACATCATGTCAGCGTCAGAGGGGTTTCAGTGTTTCTCTGTGTAAGTGTGTGTGTGTGTGTGTGTGTATGTATGTGTATGTGTATGTGTATGTGTGCACGTCAACATGTACATACCCTTGAACTGGTCCCTGGTGTAAAGGACTCCCATATCTGCAGGTATGGAGTCGAATCCACAGCTCCCTATGATGTACACACCTTTTTCAGTTGCCGGGCTGTTGTACTCCAGCTGCATGCTCTCCAGAAACTGCATACAGCCGGACAGAAACACACAAAACGTTCAAGCTCAAACAGAAACACATGTTTTAGTGTGGCTGTTAAAGAATAAATTATTCTTATATGAAGTATTCAACTGAACAGATTTTTTGGAACTTTATCAACAATGAGCATGCAGAAAGGCAGAAATGGCTTGGTGTGATGAAGGTATTTTAGTTTAATTTAAATAACTTGCATTATTAAATTAAACAATTTATCATGTTGAAGGGGCTACAAGTAGTTTTGTAATGAAATTAATCACTTTTTATTGCCTATTTGTGAATGGGTTGTAACCCAAATTAACAATATGTGGGCTTTCTTGGTTCCCAGCCTGTATGAAGAAATGGGGTCGGGTTTTTCCACGAAATCCATTGGTTTACATAGGCTGTGACATTCATGTGTACTCCAAGCCTCTTGCCTACTGATTCTGCACAACAACAGCGACAATATCACAGCTAACAAAATGGAGTCCGTTAACACTAAAAAGTGACTGGCTCAACACACACTCCAACATAAACTCCATGTAAGGATAAAAAAAACAACAACAACACTGGAAAGGCGTTTGTGTCAGTTTTTATATTCAAAACAAAGCGGAGGTCTCTCCATGACTCAGAGTTGGCTTTCATCCTATTAGACAAGCAACCTAACATTGCTGCAAAGCATGTGAAATATATTGTGATTTATTGCTTTTGTTGGTTCAAGTTAGATAATAATAATAACTTTGATTTATATAGCGCCTTTCACAAACCCAAGGACGCTTAACGTTAGATAAAGTTAGCTTGTTGGCTTACACCAAGAAGTTGCTTACATTATCCGTTGCAAAATACTATAGTTGGAACATTATGGCTTGCCACATTACTTCACCAACCATATGTGATCCATATTACTATCCTGTGTCAAAGTGTTTTAGTCTTTTAAAAATGATGTCTGTAAAAAGCTAACTTGAATGATATTGTTAATACTAACCTGTAGTGATGCAAGACAGAGGTAGCCAGCTACAAAATATTATTTTGGTCTGGTGTTGTTTGATTTGTTACATCTAAATTTAGACTCACTTTTCACTGATACTCGGGTACACAGCTTCTCTACTGCCTCAGTTGCTTTAACTTACATGACCCATGTAATATACAATAATGCAGCATAAAGGTGCAGGACAACAACACACAGTGGAAGACACATTCAGTAAGTTACAGTAACGTTAATTACTGCGGTCTAACTGTTACTACTATACTAAAGTGTGGCAACAATCTAATTCATAATATTCAGTCTAGCTAACTAACCGTTTTCATAACCATTCTATAACTTTTAGCTATGCTGACATTGCTGAGCCTGTCCGGCAAAAGATACACAACGCTGACCCATCATGTCGGCTAAATGCAGTCAGTATACCGTTATCATGTAACGAGCAAGGATTAATTCAATGTCAAGCTGCTAAAAATATTACTGCAACATTGGTGTGGGAGTTTAACCGAGCATTATGCACATAAGAGCACACGAAATGTAGTAGTTGCAATCTGAAACCTCACCACTAGAGGCCACTGAAAACTACACATGGGCCCTTTAAGTGTAAGATTTAGGTCACACCATCAACTACTGCCCTGTCATTAATGCTCTTACAGTATGTATGTAATGATTAATGTTGATGGGTGGACTTACTGTATGCACACACTATAGTTAAGCAGCACTCTGAACATACATACCTGAGGCTCTCCACTGATGTCAATATGGTGTGCTCCATTCTCCACACAGGCTTTGACCACTGGCTCACCATAGAACCTGTACTATACACCCATAAATAAACACAAATGAATTAATGCACTGTGTGACGGCCCGTGTTTGGCTTTTAGGTGTATGTGTTGTGTCAGTACTGCAGTGGTGACCTATTCATGTGGTTTTCTGCATGAGGACCTGACCCTACCTGGATCTGGAACACCTGGGCCCAGTTCTCCACCAGAGATAAAAGCCCCACCTTCTAGATTGGCTGGCTCTCTCTCATCTAACCTGCCAGCAGCTGCACCTTTTTGTTTTTGTTAAAATGTTTGCTTTACTTTTACACCACAACACTTACCACCATGTTCACACATCCTCACCTACTAATGCTGCGGACTAACACATCCCATAGTTGAAGTTTATTCTGTGTTATAATAAAAACTGTACTTCAGGCATTGTGTCTTTCCCACATTTATGACAACTGTGTAAATGTTTCCTCCTTTGTCTCCTAATTTGATTGATTCCCCAATCAGCGATAGTTCCCGTCCCTGCTAAATCCCTGTGTTAGCCTGGAGTAGACAAACTGGTCTTTCTCCCACCACACAGGGAGTTGCCGGCAACTTATTTTCACTTGTTAATAAGACATTTCATTTGTAGGATGCCATTCAAAACATTTTACTTTCCATTGGTCATAAAAAGGTGAAATTAAATGAATTGCATAATACAAACAGTGTAAGTTAAAATAAGTCTAAAATAAGAGGACAAACAAGTTACACAGGTAATGAATTAAAAAGTCTAAAGATTATAGGCATCACAGAAAAGATGTGTTTTGAGGAGATTAATGAATGAGGTAACTGTGTCTGCCGGTTATGTGAGGGGGGAGTGCATTCAAAAGCCTGGGTGCCAAGCAGATAAAGGCATGACTCTCATGGTGGAGAGGCGCACTGGAAAAAAAGACCAGCAGTGGAGGAGCGGAGGGAGCGGGAGGGGGCATGTACTCAGAGGAGGTCAGAGAGGTAGGTAGGTGCCAGGTTGTGGAGGGCTTTAAATGTGAGAAGTAGGGTCTTAAATGTAATCTGGTTAGTATCTATGCTTATCACTTTATCCCCCCAGATCTCGATCCACACAGGGGCGCCAATGTTGCTAGTGCAGCAACAAGACAAGATCCCTCACAGGCTTTCCACACAGACACACTGCAATAGTGTTTTATGGCGCACACTGCAGCTGCACAACCCAGCTCTCGGCATGGCAAATCCTGTTAAACTTGTTCATTGTGCCGTCTTTAAAATACGACATGCAAGTCATGTGATTCTAATGAGTTGGATTTCTGTCTGTGGTCCTTAGAGCCAATTTAGTATATTTTTTCAGTTTGACACATGCATTGTCACCCCACGCTAGTTAGGCTACTCGGTAGATGCCCACAGGATACTTAACCCCTACTTTAAAACGACGTGAGGTCTACATGAACGGGGGGATTTACAAATGGAAGCTGGAGTGAGGACGGCAGCAAACAGTTTCTTGACCCTGACTGATTCGTGAGCTTATGCAGACAAAGAACACGTTGCTCAGGTAGGAATAATGAAACAATAAAGAATTTTATTAGAAAGCTTTATTTTCTAGGATAGGATCTATACTGATTCTCACACACTGGCATCTCTGCAAAGCTTATCACTGTTATATTTAGCAGGACATTAATTCCTACTTTTTCTGTCATGGATTATTTGTTCGAAATTTGTTTGACGTGCGTCTGAACTCCCAATCCGTCTCCGTCTCCACGCTGGCTGGTGACAAAAAGATAGTACAAGCCACTATAACCGTAATCGTCAGTACATGGCCGACTCAAGTTATATTCCACAGACCAACTTGCAGAGCAAAGTACGTTTTTGACTATGCAAGACGTGGTTTACAGAACACTATGTGGTCTTTCTGACCCTGGTAATGCCAGATTTATTACATTAATGCTCATACAGGTCCATGACCTTTGACTTCAACTGTGTGTGTCAGTTTTAAACAAGCTGGCCAAGTGCTGCTGTGTGCAACAGTGGTGGTTAGTGCTGTGGAAGAATTTGGTTTCAAACAAGAACCTGAATGATGCACAGGACGCAAACTTCACAAAGCAGTGCTGGAAACCTACTTTCCATTCTGACTTTAACACAGTACCACTTATTGTGTGCAGCAAGTCAGTAGCCTTCATTGTTTAAATGAATGCTCTGTGTGTGTGTGTGTGTCTGAGGGAGAAAGCGAGAGCGAGCGAGAGGGAGAGAGAAGAGAAAGAGAGAGAAGAGAAAGAGAGAGAAGAGAAAGATGGGGATAAGCTGAGCTACACTGATGCCAACATCCAAAAGGTTGTTAGATAATGTCAGGAGCTGGATCAAGTTGTGTGTGTGTGTTGAAGAAAAATAAACAGAGGCACACACATTACTGTGGACTCATCTACTTACAGGCCCCACACAGTTGAGAACAATCACAGCCTGTTTGCACATGGCTGCCAGGGAGTCTGGCTCTTCTACATCTGCCACAATTATGTCCACTTCTGACCTCAGTTCAGGCTTACCTGCACACAAAACACTGCTATAGTATATTTCAAACCAAATGCTTGCTGTACATTTCTTACACATGATTCTCAGGTGTGAATATATGAGTACATGTAGCTGATGACACACGGGGCAACTATTTAAATAATATTGCTGGGCAATCTTGCTGGTGGCAAGTCCGACTATGTTTTGAACGGATAGCGGCGGGGCGGGGCAAGTGAGTGTCAGGGGAAGGGGATTACGGTAGTTATCTTTACTTATTACCATTGACGGGAACATTGCCCAGCATCATTGCTCTAAAAGTTGCTCTGTGTATCATCAGCTTGTAAGTACATGAGTAACCTGTGTGAAAATGAGTATACTGTAAATAATGGAGGAACAACACAAAATAAGCTACAAGAACACAGATAATCTGTGTTATGGATGAAATGTACTTTGTATGCTAGAACTCAGAACTTGCAAATATGATATAAGCTGTTTTTAAATGAGCCACTGTAACAGTTTGGAGTTTGTGGACAAACTGCAGTTTTCACTTTTCACTGAATGACTGGACAAGCTGTGTGTGTGCTGTCATGGATGGATTGCGCAGAGAGCAGGTATGTTCCAACAGCTGTTGTACTCTCCCTGAAGGGAAAGCCGAAGAGGAGGGGACAACGAAATAACTATCTAATCCTCTGGAAACTCACATTACTGTCATGACAGCAGAATAGCCCCCTGGTTTTGATCTTGTGATGGACTTAAATTTTCCATGTTTAGAGTGTTGCATGGAAACAAATGGTAAATATGGAAAATGACTTGCATACTAAATATATATATATATATATATATAGTAAATATGCTTGATGTTTTTTTCAAGCAAAAAGGCAAAATGTTTGTTGGATTCAGCTTCTCAAAAAAAGAGTTTCCCCATTTTTCTCTGTTGTTTTCTCTCATACTCTTTGGTTAACTGTAATTTTCTGCCATCAAATAGACAAATATATCAATTAAACTGAAAAATAATTAATTCATTATAAGCAATAATGACATTAATCATTAGTTGCTGCCCTAATTTCTGTCTGAGTAATCAAATAAAATACTTACTGTTGAAACCAAGCTGATCATCAAAAAATATGTTGCCTAAAAGTTTGATTGATTAATCATTGATAGTTTTAAGTAGGTTTATCAACCATTTTCTACTTACAGTTTCAGCAATGCACAAGAGTACTTGCTATAGTACTTGCATATACTCTAAAAATACTATTTTTGCTGAAGGGTTAGACTAAGTAAGCACATGCATCATTGATTAATTGAATAATTATCATTAGTTCATGTGACTGCATCATTAGTTGCAATCCTTAATAATAATTATAAAAATATATAATTTTATATATATTAAAAAATTTATAACAATAATTATAATAATAATAATAATAATAATAATAATAATCTGCTTTATTTAAATTGTTAACCTTTTGTTGTTGAGTTCAGTTTAGGGTCAAAGTCATGCTTAACTAGTTAATCACTGATCAGTGAGCTCAGCTTGGATAGATAACGTTAAGTCATCCTGAGTCAGAATTAAGCAATTTCCCTTTGCCTAACGTTAATGCAAACACTAAGTATTTTTGGAAAATCTGATAAAAATTGCAGCTCACACACTGACATGAAAATATCCTTGCATCAGCTGACCAAATAAAATCAAATGAACTGATAAGTTATCTCTGTAGCAGAATAATCTGCTTCAACATACACAACTAATGGGATCGTTAGATACATACTGAGGACTCCGGCGGCCTGCTCCAGAACTTTTTCCAGTTTCTGCTTGCTCCTGCCTGCCACGGCCCACTTCAGGTTCCCTTTCGGACCCTCGGACGCAGTCCGGGCCACCTCCTCCACCACAAACTGTCCCGTGAACCCCGAGGCTCCGAAGATAACCAGGTGGTACGGCCTGCTGGAGGATGTTTCAACACGGGCCATAGTGACAGCAATCAGACCGCAGGAGCTCGTACCTTCACCTCCTCTCTGAGAGACTGAGGGCGGAGCGCGACACTGCGTGCTGTTTTCATAGAGCCCCTTTGTCAACTTCCGTAGCAACATTATGCTAACAGATATTTTAACAACAGCGCTAGTGTTTAGTTACCTAAACCGCTACGTGCAAGTGTGCTGCGTTAAGTTTTTCATTTCCCGTTTTGTGTTCTTCATTTTATAGCAAAGCTTTGTTTATTTTCTTTTAAAAAGTATTCTTGTTTTTATTTTTCTTTGTGGGGTTTAACTGTGGTTGACAGCCAGTGCATCAGCTGCATCAGCGCCACCTTCTGGTTCGGAGTGTGGGCGATCCCTCTCCCATGGTATGGTGCCTTCTAGGTTTAGAAGCCATCTGTGATTCAAACAGAATAGGATGGCAATCATTGCAATAGCTCAGATGCTCAATGGGTTTCTCTCACTGTATCCAAAAAGACAAAACTATGATTAAAATATATATATTTTAAATCATAATTTAGTTTTAACCATGACAGTACTCATTTCTATAATCTATCTAATCTGGACTTTGCTGATGGAAAAGCTGTAACTTTGTTAAGAAAAGAAAGGGGCTTATTCTTCTTCTTCTTCTTCTTCTTCTTCTTCTTCTTCTTCTTCTTCTTCTTCTTCTTCTTCTTCTTATTGTTGTTGTCATATAATTTACTAAAAATACTACAGTGTGTGTTTTTTAATAGAGTCTATTATCCTATCATATTAAAGGGGCTATAGGTAGATTTTAAATGATATCACTTAGTTATAAATCACTTTTTATTGCCTTTTTGTCAACGGACTGTAACCTCACTTAGAAATTAACCCAGTTACATGGTTTCAATCTTAAAACCGCACCGCTAGTGGCTGCTGAAAACTACATATTGCCCCTTTAATCCGGGTTCTCTGATAAAATCAAAGAAAATTCTACTCGCTTTCTTTATAGACTCTATTATTATTTTATAAATTGCATCTGTTTATTCCAAATTTATATGGTATTTACATTTATTTATGTCAGCTGTATGTTTGTCTATGTCTAGCAACTAATCACCATAGCAAATTCCTCGTACGTGTAAAACAAAAACTTGGCAATCAAGCTCTTTTTGATTTTGATTGTGATTCTCTTCTTGACTTAGGCTACCTATGTTTCTAAATGTTGAATTGACTTTATTATTTAAATTGACCTCTGCAGAGCTGGTTTTGTTAACCTGTCAACCATCAGTACCCTTCAGATCTACATGTCCAGGAACCCACTTAAACGGAATTGGCATACCTGATGAATAAGTCTGCAATGTGCTTGTCACACTTTGAATAAAACATCTTGGTTGCTGGAATTGACAGATGTCAGACTCTTGAAAAGTGAAACAGAACAGGGGCAGATTAAAGCATTTCCTAAAACAGATTTTTCTTGAGCTCCAGCAAGTACATTACTGTCATTTGTGTTGAGTGCGTTCACATCTCTTTTTAATATGAGTACGTTAGCCATGGATGTAACGGCTTCCTGATTGGTCCTCGCTTTAGTCGCCTGTCAATGACGACAATCGGATGCGTCTGTAACACCACGAGAGTTGCAAAACACAAGACGTGCGGGGACGGGATGCGGAGGGCTCAATGTCATGGAGCTTTACCGGCGAACAGGCAGACAAGGGGCAACTTTAAATCACTGATATCGTTAGATTTAATTATATAGGATAGTCTGCAATAAGGTAAGTCTGTGTTTCTCCAGATGAAACGACATTAAATGCATTTTAGTTGGAAGCGATGTTAGCTCACGGCTAGCCACTCGGCTAACAGACTCCAGTCTTCTGGTAACATATTCCCTGCGAGGTTATGTTGTGCCTCTTTGGCTTGTGATGACCAAAGTGTGTGAACCTACAGAGTCCAGGACAGAGCTAACCTCCCCAGGCCGATAGAGTTACCATTAAACGTTAAGGAGAAGTTCACCTCACCACGTGCGAGGACAACCGATTATAGTATTTGTGTACTACGATGCGAACATTTAAAGCCTGCCATTTCTAATTGTGTCCACTGTATCGATGCTTTAGTATAGGCCAGTTAAATACCAAGTTAGCTGCAAGTTACCCAAGTGTCACTTAAAAATGATGTTACATGTTTAAATGTAAGTTAATGTTACTTAAATGTCTGTTATTCATCTTAACATCTCTTGTCCCTTTCTCTCCTCATTCCCTTTAGGCAGTGGCCTCTTAAAGAGGTCCCCTCAATCTCCCTCCTCCCTCTGTTGTCACTGAACCACCATGACCACCCAGCTTTGTAGAGTGGTGGAGCTGATGATGCGCTCTGGTTGCTGCCAGAACATCAGAAGTAGATCCTGTTTGCGCAAGGTGGTGTTTGCCCCTGTGGCTCCCTCTGGCCTCTGTGTTCCCGGGGCTCCTGTGCTTCATAGAAGAGCCTACAGCCTGGACTCTCTCTCCTCGGGTCCCAGTCGACCCTCACTTGGTCCAAGCTCCCAACAGCCCCGTGCAGAGAGGACATCCCCGTCCTCAGCGCTCACGCAAAGGAACCTGTCTGCTGTGGCTGTACAGGTAGGCAGTTATCTCTGGCTTGGCTTGATTCTAGACACTAATCTTCCACTGCAGCTTGGATTTACAAATGTCTGTGCTTCTGTACTTTTTTATTCTATACTTATTAATGGGGAGGGAAAATGTCAAAATTAACAAACCACATGCACTTCTACATACATACATAAAAACAAAAATAACTCTGCATTTTCCCTTTTGGGTTAGTTTTTCCATGGCTTGGCAGAAAGAAAGGCTCTTTAACCAATTTCCCACTGTCGGTGCCTCAGTGCTCTTTCAGGCGATTGCAACGCAGTGTTTAGCCTGAAGTGAACTTAAATCTTTTTATTTGTGACTGACAGTCTAAACTCGGGTTGCTAATAGTCCAAGGACGAACATCTGAGGACAGACAGGCATCTTAAGAGAGATAATCTCGGATATAGTTTGTATGACGGTGACCCAGAAATTTCTGCATCTTGGTCACTAGACCACACCAACCTTTTGTTGTCAGAATATTCTTTAAAATTGTCTACAGTCAATTTATACAGAAGGGAAACCTGTCCACAACCTTGAAGATTATCTAGTGTGGTCTTTTCAAGACTAGACAACTGTAACGTCTAATTCAGACGTATTTGAAAAAGTGTCTCTAAAAGGATATTGTAAAAAAACAACAAAAAAACCCTGTACATAATGTAATTGTTGTTATGCATATCCATAACTTTGCTAATCCGCTGCTCTGCCCAGGATCTAAAACCAGGGTCAAAATGTCCATTTGTTTATGCACACACATTTTCAAGTCCTTTGTGTTGGTTGCAGTTAAAACAGTCCAAACATAATTTCCCCCAGCACCTTCCCCCAACTCCTCCTTGAGAATTACCATGGGCTTAGAGCCCAATTGAGAGATGTAATACCTCCAGCATGTATTGAGTCTGCTCTATGATCATATTTTTTTGACACTATGGACTGATATACTGCCTTTATATAGCTTTTTTTCCCTTGATTGTTGAGGTGCACAACACAGATCTGCTCTGACTCGGCACTAGCCCACATGTTTTGCCCCAAAACACTTGTGGTTAACCCACAAGTTGACCCTTTTTTGTAGTATTCTTATCCATGCTGTGTTTGAGTTTGCTGTATTCTGTTACTGCTTACTCTGCCTCGGGGACTGTTAACATTTTGATTATATGGTTTTATCTTAATATACTGTGTAATTCTTGAGGTTTTCCATGTTACTTGAACCACTTTGTATGAGGACAGGATTGTGTTTGTGAAGTAAACTGGAAAATTACTATAGAAGAAGACTGACAGAAAAAGACGGAGGATCTCAATATACTGTGAGCTTTTTCACATATGTTGTTGAATTTCTTTCACTCTTTATGTGGATTGATGTCTTTCTCCAGGGCCAGTGTCGTCCTCTGTGCCATTATGACTTCCTGGACCTTGGGGAGGTCGAGGAGAATGTACGTCGTGCTCAGGCCTGTAAAAAAATGAGACACTTCATAGTGGACCCAGACCTGGCTAAACTGGTAACGCATCACCTACGACCTGATGATGCTAAAGCTGTTATCTTCGAATGTAACCCAGGTATGTATTTGTACAAAGCTTAAGTTGGAGTGAAACTTCATGCATGTTTTTTTTTTTCCTTCTGGTGTGTAATTTTTATTTAATTTGGCAGAAACAGTGGCAAATTAAACAGTTGTTTTTAATGGGGTGCCATAGTAAAACAACAATGAAATGAGCTGTGTTGCTGTGTTTCTGTCTTTCTTTCTTAGGTCCCGGGGTGTTGACTAGGACACTGCTAAATTCTGGCGCTCAGAGAGTTGTGGCTCTGGAAGGGGATAGGTTCTTCCTAGGCGATCTACAGGTAACACAAACATCTCTAAGCATCTTAAAGCTTGTGCATCCTCTTGCGGAGATTAGCCAGTTCTTTGTTCTAACCTTATTATCAGATGTTATTTCTTCAATTAATCTTTACCCCTTATGTAGTAGTTAAATAAATGATGCTTCCATGTTGTAGGAGTTGGAAGGTCGTCTTGATGGTCAGCTTGAAGTCGTTCATTGTGACTACTTTAAACTAGACCCCATTGGCAGTGGAACCCTTAAACCTCCTGTCATGTTCACTGACAAACTGTTCACTGACCTGGGAATATCAGAAGCCAGCTGGACTGATGGTAAGAAAAAGAACATGTGTGCACACACAAACACAGTGCAGCAAATCTAAGACACTGCTATGTTGCAAATTCTCTCTCACACATGCATACACACAAAGGGGTTTTTGCTCCTTAAGTTTAGCGTCTCCTTCAATGCCACAAATCCAAACTGAGAATATGTATACCTTAAACCTTTGATCGGTGGAACACACAGGTTTCAAACATAAAAGCTTTTAGCATCAATAATGGTTTGGAAAAAATAAAATCACTTTGCAACATTGCATCCCTTTCCTTTATGTGTGATGCTTGTTAGTTTGTTTTGACTATGTTGTATTTCTATTTAAATTATAACTGGCGTGCCGTCTTGGCCAGGTCTCCCTCGGAAAAGAGATTTACAACTCAAGGGACTTCCTGGTTAAATAAAGGTTAAATAAAAATC